GCTTCTTCCGTGGTGTTGCTGCTGAGCGATTCGCCGTTCGTAACTCTGGTGCTACCGCTGTCGTTGAGGGTGTTGGTGACCACGGATGCGAGTACATGACTGGTGGACGGGTTGTCATTCTTGGCAGCACTGGCCGCAACTTCGCTGCGGGTATGTCTGGCGGTATTGCGTACGTTTTGGATATTCACAAGGACTTCCACACCAAGCTCAACACCGAAATGGTTGAGTATGGCCCTCTCGAAGATCCTACTGAGATTGCCTACGTCCGCGGCCTCATTGAGGATCACCATCACTACACTGGATCTGAGCGAGCGGCTCGTATCTTGGTCGACTTCAACCGTGCTCTGCCTCGATTCGTCAAGGTTCTCCCAACGGATTACAAGCGTGTCTTAGAAGAGGAGGCCACCAAGGCTGCCGAAGCCAAGCGTGCCGAATACAACCTTCCTGTCGTTTCTGGTGTGCATGGCAAGAAGGACGACAAAGCCGCCAAGCTCCAGGATATGGAAGAAGCCATTGGAGACAACTCAGCCGAGAAGAAGAAGCGGGCTCTGGTGCTTGACAAGACCAAGGGTTTCATGAAGTACGCTCGCCGCACGGAGAAGTACCGCTCCGTTGCTACCCGAACCAAGGATTGGGCTGAGATCAGCTCACGTCTCGACGAAGATGAGCTCAAGTACCAGTCTGCCCGCTGCATGGACTGCGGTGTTCCCTTCTGCCAGTCTGATACCGGCTGTCCCATCTCCAACATCATTCCCAAGTGGAACGAGCTTGTTTTCCAGAACCAGTGGAAGGATGCTCTCAACCGTCTCCTCATGACCAACAACTTCCCCGAGTTCACTGGTCGTGTCTGCCCTGCCCCTTGTGAGGGCGCTTGTGTGTTGGGTATCAACAGTGACCCTGTTGGTATCAAGTCAATTGAGTGCGCCATCATTGACCGCGGTTTCGAGATGGGCTGGATGGTGCCCCGACCCCCTGAGGTCCGAACAGGCAAGAACATTGCTATTATCGGATCTGGTCCCGCCGGCCTGGCTGCCGCAGACCAGCTCAACCGAGCTGGCCACACCGTGACGGTGTATGAGCGTGCTGATCGTCTGGGCGGTCTTTTGATGTACGGAATTCCCAACATGAAGTTGGACAAGCGAATTGTCAAGCGCCGAACTGACTTCATGGCCTCCGAGGGCATCAACTTCAAGACGGGCGTAGCCATCGGTGCTGAGGGCCAGCCTTCACTCGCTGATCTCAGGGCCAGTAATGACGCTGTTGTCATTGCTACCGGTGCTACCGTCGCTCGCGACCTCCCTATTAAGGGACGCAACTTGGAGGGCATTCACTATGCCATGGAGTTCCTGCACAAGAACACCAAGTCTCTTCTCGACTCCCAGCTCGCCGACAACTCCTACATTTCCGCCAAGGGCAAACATGTTGTTGTCATTGGTGGTGGTGATACCGGTAACGACTGCATTGGAACCTCGGTTCGTCACGGTGCCAAGTCTGTCACCAACTTTGAGCTGCTGCCTCAGCCTCCGGATGAGCGAGCCAACGACAACCCTTGGCCTCAGTGGCCCCGAATTTACCGTGTCGATTATGGCCACACGGAAGTCCGTCAGCACGACGGCAAGGACCCTCGCGAGTACTGCATCATGTCCGAGGAATTCCTTGACGACGGTAGCGGCAAGGTCAAGGGCATCAACACCGTCCGTGTCGAGTGGACTAAGAACCCCAGCGGCGGTTGGGACATGAAGAAGATTGAGGGCTCTGCGCAGTTCTTCCCTGCTGATCTTGTCCTGCTAGCCATGGGTTTCCTCGGACCCGAGGCGCGCGTTCTGGGAGACGAGATTGAGAAGGACGCTCGCAAGAACGTCAAGACTGCTCCTGGAAAGTACAGCACCAACGTGGATGGCGTGTTTGCTGCGGGCGATGCGCGCCGCGGGCAGTCGCTCATTGTTTGGGGCATCAACGAGGGTCGCATGGCTGCTCGTGAGGTGGACTTGTATCTCGAGGCTTGCACCAACTTGCCTGTGACTGGTGGTATTGTGAAGAGAACTGCTCAGGAGATTTTCACCAAGATTGCGGCGCAGTAAGGGATGGGGTATAGGTAGATTCGGTGGGAGGCAAAGCCACGAGTTTACGAAGCATACTTTTATGATGCAAATAGTTACTATCTAGGTTTTGCATGTTACCTTTTTTTGCTAAATTGTTGAGCAATGATACCATAGCATTAGTTCTTATAAATAAAATGTCTGAATAGTTTTATATATTCCCTTATTATACCTTCAAAGTTATTAATGCAACTTCGCAATTCACGCCCTGCAACAACCGCCAGGATCTTCTTTCATCGGACAGCGGCATACGACAACGCAACATCGTATCATATGCGGTGGAAAGCTCCCTGTAAATTGAAGGAGGCTGGCAGGCATCTCGTAGTCGAGCATGGCACAAATTACTCATTTTGAAGCTTGTCCAACATCTTGGGCTTTCAAGGCCAGCATTACTGGCTTGTTGTCTATTTGTAAATCTTTTGTATATGCTTTGAAGAGCAGCTGAGAATGTCACACAGGAGCAACGTCCCTTTAATCTCACTTGTTGAGCGAAGCTTGCATTAGGGTGTGGCATGCAGTGTGCTAAAACAAGGCAGGGAGCAAAATAGCTTCATGCCATTCCGCGTTCATAATTTACTTTATGTTAACAAATTACACAAGGATACTAATTTGGAATACTATTGATATCAGGGCCACGTCTCACGAGGCCTTTATGCCGGATAAGTCGTTGTTCGTAATTGGATTGTTTGAGACAAAGCACAGACACGATCTCCCACAAGCGCTTGGATGTCATCCGAAATAGTACATGCTTAATTAAATGTATGATACACAGCAGGAGACCACTTAGCTTATATATAATGGTGACTTCGCCCTCGACTTTGGCATGCATTTAATAGACAATCCACTAACACGACACAAGCAAGTTATTACGAACAAGTGCGATTTGACATTATGAAATTCTCTTCAACATGCTTGGCATACATCCTTCCCATGAGTACTCATGTGCTTGGACAGAATTTTGCGGATTTGTGCGACAATATCACTCTTATTGAACCATATACTCTCCAAGCAGATTGTTTAGATGGTGAAGGTTCTCAGGTTCGAACCTCCACCGTCGATCTTTATAATTGCCTCGGCAATGTTAATGGGATGTTGAAAGTGAGATGTCTTATCTCAATAGCTTTTTGAAAATGCTTTGATACTAATCCTTTGTAGTGCTATGCCAAGTAAGTCATGAACAATATCTTAAGTATCTTTAGGGATATACTTATAAGCATCAGCGGCCGATTTGGATCAAGCTGCAAAAGCTGCGTTCTTCAGGATGACACGATATTTGTATGCCAATGTCGTAACGCGCAGCAACAAGCTGCTAGAACATTTATTGATCTTAGTGAGTTTTGGGTCTCTTCCTTCGCAATTGGGTTCTAAGAGTCTGCAAGTGGTTTCTAATACAGACTCTTCGCTAGATTCCTGCATTTATAATGGCAATGGAGAACTGAATTGCTAGCTAAGGGCGCTGAAGGAGAGCAAGAGAGTAATAGACATATCCAACATACATTTCGCTATCGTGGTATGAATACTGTGGCTTGAGCTCTTGTTCTCTTTGGAATATTTTCCTCGAGCATGGCTTAGTATGAAAGATCTACACTAAATGTACCTACCTGGATAGATTTTCAGAGGGAGATTCTGTGAGACAGAATGATAGAAGGCGTTGAGTAAATATATTGGGAAAACTGCTAAGAAAGTTACACTTTTACGTGCATTTAGGAGCTTGGAGTACATGTGCTTTTCCAGCTCTCCATAGTGCCGCTGCAGAAAGGCAATTGACATTCCATTTTAGCAGTAAAGGATGTAGAGTATTTTTTTTCTCTCTCGCACCGCTGTCTAATTGCCTCTCCACGCTACGCATACAAGAATCCTAGACTTCTATTATTTTTCCTGAAATAATCCTCATGTGATGATGAAGGTTGATCCGTCCAACGGCGTATCCCGAAAGTACATTTACTCGAGTCAGACGCCCTCAGTTGACAATTGATTTCAAGGTTGATTGATACCACAGGGGTCCTGCATGAGATTGTGGTCGTGTTTCTATTCTAATAGGTTCATACACGTTATCAAGCCTCACCATGCATCGTAAAACAGCCTCGACTATCTGCCTGCGAGTATGTGCCTTTGCAATTTGAAACATAGATCTAGTCTTCAGCTCGTTTCTGAATTTTTTCTTTCTCTTGTTCAAGCTTCTTTCATCTCATTTTCCTATTCCTGATGCCCAATCGGTTCAATTGAAACTTTGCTTGCGGGGCGGCCCTGCGTCATTTTGCTTGTATCCTGGCATCTGGGTCCAGCAGCTGCTTGCAGTAGCATCAACATTGAGCCAACACGTGCTGGTTAGCGGGAGGTGATAGGCTCCAGAGCCCTGCAGAAGGCCTGCACCTAGCGGAAGCCCACTGAATGCCGGTACAAGTTAGCCGCATTTGCTCGTGGAACCGCAGCGGCAGCCAGCTCCAAGTGGGGGGTTTCTTTTTTTTTCCTGCTTCGGCGCGCCGGATAGCGAGGCTAGTGGCATGGACGAGATGAGTATAGCGAACTTAGTGGATAATGGGCAGAGCTTCAGCAGCCGAGCCGGCAAGGCCTAGAAGCGTGTTGTGGGCAAAGCTGTACTCCGTATTTGCCTTGCTTCAATTGGAAAACAAATTTTGGCCTACTCCGAATCAGTCGGGACAAAAACTTTGTTGCTTTCTTTTTGCTGCACCTCCGCTTCGACCTTGTCTGGTTCCTTTCTCTTGGTTTACTTGCATCAGCCCTTCTGCTGCTCCCAGCTCAATTCGCGATTCACCGCTGCAGCTTCCGGCAGAAGCTTCAACCTTGGCCGACACGATCGTCGAGGACACGGGTTGACGATTGTCTTCCCCCCTTTAAGGATTACCGACGACAAAGGGCATCAAGAGATAAAGCTGCGAGATGCGTTTCGGAAAGACGCTGCGCGAGTCGATATACCCGCCATGGAAGGACAAATACGTCGACTATGGCAAGCTCAAAAGCCTCTTGCGAGAGGATAAGCGAGACGACGAGACTGTGTGGACCGAGGAGGACGAGAGCCGCTTCTGTGACGAGATTTTCAACGTGCAGCTCGAGAAAGTCGCCCAATTCCAACAGGAGCGCTTCGATGACCTAAAACAGAGGGTTGAAACTGCGTTTGAGAAGCTCAAGGAGTTCGCGCCGCCTGCCGAGTCCAACGCCGAGGCCGAAGGCAGCGGCAGCAAACCGGATACCGACCGCGAAGCAACCGCCTCAAAGCTTCGGGAGATCGAAGCCGAGCTTGACGAGATCACAAATGAGGTCAAGGCCCTGAAGAAGTACAGCAACATCAACTACACGAGCTTCCTCAAGATTGTCAAGAAGCATGACCGCAAGAGGGGCGACCGCTACAAGGTTAGGCCGATGATGCAGCTCAGCCTGGCCCAGCGGCCCTTCAACTCGGAACAGGGCTACTCGCCTCTCCTAAACAAGCTGTCCGTCATGTACTTTGCCATTCGACAGCAACTAGAGGAGGGCGACCAGGTTCCGCTCGACCTGGACGCTTTAGCAGAAACGCACAATGGCGAGCGGTACACCGCCCATAAGTGTGAGTGACATCTCGGACTTTGTTTTATATAATTCCCTTTTTGGCCTACTAACATGCAGATTGGCAGTTTGGGTACACCCCGACAACTTACTCGAAGTCAAGACCCTGATTCTCCGTCGTCTTCCCGCCCTGGTTTACAGCGAGCAGTCTGCTAAAGAACTCGATGCTTCCGATTCGCCTTCCATTACCTCCCTATACTTTGACAACCCCAAATTTGAAGTGTACTCGGAGAAGATTGAGCAACAGTCGGAAGTGGCTTCTCTGCGTTTGCGATGGTACGGTCAACTGAGCTCCAAGCCGGAGATTTTTGTGGAACAAAAGTCAGCCGATGCTACCGGCAAGAGTGAGGAGCACAAGTTCACGATCAAGCCCAAGTACATCAAGCAATTCCTAGATGGGGAGTACACAGCCGACAAAACAGTACAAAAGATGGAGAGGCAGGGCGAGAGCCAAGAACAAATTGAGGCTTTCAGGTCGACCGTTGCTAGAGTCCAGGAGTTCCAGCAGAAGAGAAAGCTGGCGCCAGTGTTGAGAGCTAACTACGTCCGCACTGCTTTCCAGAAGCCCGCTGATGACCGGGTCCGCATCTCGATCGATACCGATTTGGCCTTCATCCGCGAAGACACTCTGGACAAGAGCAGGCCTTGCCGTGACCCTAATGAATGGCACCGCACTGATATCGACAACAGCAACATGAAGTACCCGTTTCCGAACATCAACCAGAGCGAAGTATCTAAATTTCCCTACGCTGTGCTAGAAATCAAATTAAAGGAGGACGGCAGCCGCAAGCGACCAACCTGGATTGAGGATCTGATGGGCTCCCACCTAGTGCACCCATCCCCTCGCTTCTCTAAATTCGTTCACGGAGTTGCCTCTCTGTTTGACGACTACGTCAACAACTTGCCCTTCTGGCTTGGTGACCTTGAGATCGATATTCGCAAGGATCCCCAGAAGGCTTTTGAAGAGGAAGAGCAGCGCCGAGCTCAGCGTGCTGACGATGTCATGGCCGTAGGAAGCCTCATCGGAACAGTTCCAAGCTCATACAAGGCGGCACAAAGCTCGCCTGTTGGAAAATCGTATTTGGCGGAGCGCATGGCAGCGGATGCCACGGCGTACTTGTCTCGCTCTCTGAGACAGAGGCCCCAAGGGAGAGATGGAGCACAGGACGAAGAGGGCGAGGGCAGTTCTTCGCAAGCACAACAGAGAGGATACGGCACCCTATCGGCAGTTCTCCCTGGATTGTCTCTCTCCAAATACGCCAGAGCTAAGCGCGCTCAGAAGGCTCGTCTCCCTGAAGGCGTCGTCGAGCCGACACAATGGATCAAGAACACCGGGGAGCTTAAGGTTGAACCCAAGGTGTGGCTGGCCAATGAGCGAACTTTTCTCAAGTGGCAGTCCATTGCCATCTTACAGGGCACACTGGCTCTGGCGCTGTATTCGGCGGCCGGTGACAATGCGATTGCGCAGTGGATCGGCATTGCGTACATTGGCATTGCGGCGTTTGCGGGCATCTGGGGCTACAGCATCCAGCAGGTTCGCAGGAGCATGATTGTGGAAAGGAGCGGCAAGGATTTTGATAACATGATTGGGCCGATTATCATCAGCGTGGCCATGATGATTGCGCTGATTGTCAATCTTGTTCTTCAGGTAAGAAGGCGATGGTCTGAATTTAACGAATGAGCATGCGGCTGACATTGTACGCAGTACCAGAAAGCATTTTCCAAGATGAAGAATGTCGACTCGGACATGCCAATGCCCATTACGGACGAGTAGATTTAGAAGAACATACGTATGTATACTATACTACCTGTATGTACGTGTATACATGCCGTGTATAATAGCAGCGAGGCTGGAGAAGTTCAAAGGGCCGTGTTGAAGACGTTTGGACAAATTGTCATAGTCGATGCATGCCTACCTCTGCTTGTAACTTTTTACATCACCAATGCTGTAGGCAAAGGTGTAAGTGTTTCTCAGCGATGTCGATAGCCAAGGAGTGAGCTGTGGTTTAATTTAATTTAATACTTTATTGTACAAGGTGGACATGATGCGATGTTTTAGTATAGCTATTTTATCTATATTTGACACAAGCAATTGATTCAACAGTAGTTGTGATTCAATTAGCCAACAGCGTGCCGACCTCGGTAGCGGTAGCGGTGATTGGGACTCGCATCTCAAAGAATGGCCAGGGTGGATGGTCACCTGGTCTCATTCCGCAACCCATGCTGCACTAACCCCGTCCCATGTCTTTCTTTGTTCTTGTCATTTTCCCATTCAGCGTAGCAAAACTCCATATTTCTGTCATATGCAGCGCTTATATGCAGTGTGCGGCATGCAGCATGCAGTTGCATTTGGTACCGAAAAGGCTATGCGGAGGACCGCTGTCTGATATGGATCACAGTCACAATCACAGTCACAAACTTCCATCGCCATTCCATCATGGCTCTACTCATTAGCTTCGCGTTCTTTTGCAAGTCTAGAATATTGCTCGTTGTGATTTCAAATTTTGCAGAGAACAGGGAGAATAGCGTATTGTGATGGGCATGGTATGTGGGGAATTGTATTGGTGCAGACTGGAGGGAACAATCGCAGTAAGACAAAGGATGGAGATTGCTGCAAAGATGTACAGAGAGACAATAGCTGTTGTCGAATTTGACAATGGTACTTGGCTTTGTTCTTTTGTCTGTTTAAAGTCATTCAACCGGTTGCAAATTAAGAAACACTGTGTAAAAGCAAAAGCCTCGCCATTCGTTTGCCGTGGGTGCCAGATGCTGGTCACCGGTAGGCGCGGGCGGCTACCTATTGTGGCATGTTGTACGTCCGTCCTGCCTCAACACCTCGCTTTTCTCGCCCTTCCCTTTTGCGACTTTCAATTGCTTTTGACCACCGCCCTCTATTTTTTTCTCCCTCATCGCTCGGCTGTCTAGTGATATTCGACTGTGACTACAAATATTAGGATTACGCCTCTGGAAGAACCTCTCACGCATCAAACGCAGTCAACTAAGATGCTTTCGCTACCGACGAAAAGCTGAATAGAAAAAGGAAGAAAGCTGGCTAGCCATGCACCACAGCATTCGCGCCAACCTGGGGAGATTGACCGACTTTTCGTGAGAATTTTTTTTTTAAAGCTACCGTCTCTTGCCCAAGGGCGCTTTTGGAGAAAGCGTATAGTGAAAGTAGACGAGTGGGTTTTCCGTGAGGAGAAGCGATGGCCATGGAGCAAAGGAAAGAAAAATCCAAGTTTTGGGGAGGGCTGCTACGCGGGGAGAGCTTGATGAAGAGAGGGTCTAGGGTGGTGCGCAAATATCAGGATCTGCTGCTGCGCGGAGAAGCGCGAGAAGAGGCCGACCCGGAGTGGGAAGACTACAGCGAGAACCGCGAATTCCAGCCGCCGCCGCAGCTACGGGAACAGCAGGATCACGACGGGCAGCAGGTGAGGCAGCAGCGCAGGATGAGCGAGGGCAGCAATAGTCTTGTTGTGTCGCGCCGTGAGCTGGGGCTTCACCCACGCAGGCGCCGCACCATTGATGGAGGGGGCGATGGTAGTGACATCCATGACATCCATGGGCGCTCGCCCAGAACATCGGCCACGAGGCGGCGGCCGGACGAATCGCTGTCTGGACGGCTTCAATCGAGCTTTGGCAAGAGACGGGGAAGCGGCGGTGACCTCGACTACAACAGCCACAGCAATAGCAACAACATTACCAATACTACTGCCGGCTACAAGAATCGCGAAACCCCTGCGGCGCAGGCGACCAATGGAGGCGAAGCAGCGCGATGGCCTCCCGCCACCACATCAGACCGCGAAGAGCTGTCACACCAGGACGCCCTCGAGCTCATTGCGCGCGGCGCGCCAACCTACAAAGGGCGCAAGAAATCAATCCCCTACACATCGGACCAGCATTATGCGCTGTACGTGACGAGCTCCAAGAGTCGAAGAGGGGGCACGGACGTTGCAAAGCCGCATGATGCCATGTCGCATCTCATGACAATGAAGATACAGGCGCACGGGCACGTATCGTACCCCTGGGAGACGATTGAGCAGCCAAGCTATGCCTTCTTCTATGGTCGCATAGGCGGCACTGTGACGCTCAACCAGTGGGCAGCAGCAGCAAGCAACATCCCGTCCAAGATTGCGCTGCGAGACTCGGGTGTCCTACCGCGGGCGGTGACGTTGGAGCACATCTTTGCGCGACTGCAAGACTTACAGCAGCTGGGGCTGGAAGATGATGACTTGGGCCTCTTGTATCGATCTTTGTACAAGCGCTTCTTGCGGGATCCTGACAAGATACTGAGTCCACACAAGACGCTGGATAAACAGATTGCCGACCTAATTATGGCCCTGTCACGCCCAGACTGGATCGATTACACAGAGCCAAAGAATCAGGTTGTGACTCGTTTCATTTTCAACGGCATAAACGAGGAACATCGAGAGCAGTACCACAAATTCTTTCATCAGCTGCTCCTCAGCCTAGAATTAGAGCTTCGTATTCACTCGCGGCATCACGACGACTGGGCCAAGGAGAAGCTGTTACAGCAAATGCCTCCTACAATCAAATGGAACCTGGCGCTCGCAAGACGGTGGCGGGAGAATGTTCGAGTTGAAGAGTATGGCGATTCGCCTGCACAAGGTAAGTGGCATATTTTGTTTCCTGGTAGCCCTTTCGATGGTGGAACAAGAAACAAGATAGGAAGCCGAGTTAGGGTGCACAAGAGCGCGGGAAGCACAAAAGCTAATCGCATGACGTCTAGTAAAACTGCGGTATAAGCTGAAGAAGCGCCAAGTGAAGCAGCTCAAAAAGTTTGCCCAAATTATGAAGTGGCCTAACCTGAGGGAAACAATGGAATGCCTGAGACAGAAGGACGAAGATTTCGCTCTGGATTCCATAAGCTCGGATGCGTTTGCCTACTTTAGCGGCCTTGTACTTCCTGGCGTAAGTAAACTCCGGTGCAGCAGCCCAAGGGCACGTAGCCAAGAGGAATCAGAGCTCAGAGGGAATATCTTGCTAATTGGATGATGTGATAGCCGACATTCTCGTTCCTCATTATGAACTCACTCATAGATCTAGACCCGGATCCGGCCACAAATGAGCTTGCTTTGCTGTCACATATGCACCCACAATGTGGCTTCCAGTATCGTAATAGTCATACGTACTGGTCGGCGAGCTGCATTGTGGGTAAAGTGCTGGCACCGACATGCCATTCGGTGGCAGGCTGGGTTGGCCCTGGTAGGCCTACGGTAGACCTTGGCAGGTCTCAGATTGCTCGTATCCGAGCCCGGCAGCCGAAGCAAAAAATGGCCCGAGAGGACGTAGAGAGCATGAGCACAAGGTCCGATGCATTAGGGCCACGGGCAGATACATATCCTGTGCGCGAGTACAAACTACCTACGCTTGATAGCACGAGGTACATGGTCGACGCGGTGCGGATGGAGCTATTGAGCTTCAAAGCCGTCTCTACGGCAGCACACGAAGGCAATGCCGTAGGCCCTCGGCTCTTTGATGCTCAGGTTCAATTCGCCATTGATGGTGTTTCCTGGCCGCTGAGATTAATGTACGACGTGAGCTTTGTCTCGGCGTGGCCCTGCGCGGAAGGCCCACACCCCCTTTTTTACGACTACGAGTATCAGCTCATCAAGGCAGACGAGATTGTAAAAGTGCGCAATTGGGGCGGCTTGTACGGCGATGGTCAAGTTTCTGGGCCTAGTAGCACAGCTTCGAGCCCTCCACCGGCGGCGGACGTGGCGAAAGCCATTGTCGATAGGGACGTCGACGACGAGAAGGTGCTTGTGGTAGATGCAGTGGGAGTTCGAGACAATGAGGTGCTGGCAAGGGCTTGGTGCGCTCATTGGGGGCTCAGTGCAATAGTGGCGGATGTCCACAACACATGGTATGTCTCACGATACATTGCTTTTATTCTTGGATACTGAAACTAACTTGATTTTGAAGCATGGCGTGTGCTATCAGAGAAGCATATGCGGCGACACTGACGGTTGTGATACTGGTCGAAGACCATCCACACGTTATTAACGAATAATGAATTACGAATTTACGGATGATATGAACTAGCTTGCGTTTGTTTCCCTGCTCGATTCACAGGGTGTCGATTTGGAGAAGAGCAATGTGACCGCAAGTGGTTGGTGGATGCGCTTGAGCACAGCTTGCTATCTATATGAGTAGGAGGGAAAAGTTGAGGTTGACTTTGTAGCTATACCGTCGGAGGAGTGGTAAGGAAAAGATTTGGCACAGTCATAACTTGAGGATGGAGCTGGCTCCTGAGCTTTGATATTCACTTTGAAGCGTCATCAGTTACAATATGCCATTATGCCATGTATAGGAACATTGACCAAGGAAGTTGATATCACAAAACAACATCATTGCGGTCTTGGCGCAATATAAGTCAGGTAACAGACATAAATTAAAATTGTTACCATCACCAATGCCGTTGATATCCGTCCAATATCATTTTGCTGGTGATAACGAGTGTTGGTTGAACTCGCGGCCGCGTACAAGCCCACCACGTCATCTTGCAGAGGCCGCTCGCACACAGACCGCGCCCCACGCAGAGAGATTCACTGCTGAAAGGAGAGATGTTCGTTTTGTCTGAGACAAAGTGAAATCATGGATTATTGAACCTTGACTTTTAGTTTACCGCTTTGCTGCGATGGTGAGATGAGTTCTAGATTCGCAAGTTTCGATGCTGTAAATGTGAGCACAAGTGACAGTCTCTTTGCCGGCGTTTTTCGTGAGACATGCGTTGTACATGCAAGTGTCACTTTAGAAAACAGGTGTTACATGAGACAGACGCACAGAAGAGAGGGAGGCGAACAACAACAGAGGGCTTTCTTGTTTTGGGAAAAGGTTTCGTGGTAAGTTGTTGTGATGTTGTGTTGTGTTGCGTTGTGGGAGTCGTGTGATTTGCTGCTTGCAGCTTTTGTGAGACAAGACCGTTGTTTTTTTCTTGGTGTGTGTAAAGGGATGTTGGGGGATGTACAACTGAAGTATATATAAATGAGATGTTCTCGAGGGTTGTGTCTATGGTGTTGGACGATTGTTTAATTAGAAGAACTTGAGAAAGAAACAGCGTCTAGTCATTACACCTTATGAAGCATATCATATCACATCACTCAAACAATCACAAGTAATTGCATGCGGACTTCTTCACAATGGCCGCAAATCGCGCCCATGCCCTCTCCAGGCGGTATGAAAAGGCCCTCGTCATCTTCGTGGGCGAGTTCTGCGGCACATTCATGTTCCTGCTGCTGTCCTTTATGGGAGCGCAGGTAGCTCTCGACAACAACCCAGCTACTGATGGCCAGAAGCTGGACCCGGCCACGTTGCTGTACATTGCGTCGTCGTTTGGGACGGCGCTGGCGGTGAATGTGTGGGTGTTTTACCGCGTTACGGGGGGGATGTTTAACCCTGCGGTAAGAATTCCCTAACCAAGATTTTTGTCGACATGTATGCTAATATGAAATAAAATAGGTCACGCTGGGACTCGTCCTCGTCGGAGCCGTCAAGCCTTTCCGCGCACTCATCATCGTCCCAACCCAAATCGTCGCGGGCATCGCCGCCGCCGCCGCCGTCTCGGCCCTGCTCCCTGGCCACCTCGACGTGACAAACAGCCTCGGCAGCGGCACCAACACGGCGCAGGGCCTCTTCATCGAAATGTTCCTCACGGCACAGCTTGTGCTGACGGTGTACTTCCTCGCCGTGGAGAAGCACCGCGCCACGTTCCTCGCGCCGGTGGGCATCGGCGTCAGCGTCTTCATCGCGCACCTGGCCGGCACCAATTTCACGGGCACGGGCATCAACCCGGCGCGGAGCTTCGGCCCCGCGGTGGTGACGGGACGGTTCCGCGGGTACCACTGGATATACTGGCTGGGGCCGTGCCTGGGCGCGCTGCTGTCGTTTGCGGTGTACTCGCTGCTCAAGGGGCTGGAGTATCAGATTGCGAACCCGGGCCAGGACGCGGGCGATCCGGAGACGGCGAATGAGGAGGCGCTGGCGGTGGAAGAGATGGGCACGGAGGGACTGGCGATTGTGAGGAGCAGGACGAGGAGTGGCAGCGCGGCGAGTGAGACGAGGCTGAAGAGGGATGCCGCGATGAGGAGGGGGAGTGCGGTGGATGGGGGCTCGGTGAGTGCGGCTGATGCTGTTTGAGCGTCGTTATCGTTGTCAATCAACAAGGGGTATACTATGCAGAGGTGAGAACAAAGAATGTCTGAGAGGTTGGCCGTGTAGATGTTTGTGAAGCATCGCCATCATATGATGAAGAGGATTTGGGTATATTGTCAAGAAGGTTTGAGAGATTGAAACTGCAAGTGTTTGAACAGCATCGCCATCATTACTACGAAGAATGGCGTATCATACGATGAAACTAAAGCCAGACAGATCGTGTTCTTTTGCCCTCAGTCTCAGTCTGTTTCACAAGAATAAGAGGTCGAACGTTTAGCCTACATGTACTATACGCCATGGACAAAAACCGTCGGTTGATTCTCGTCTGTTCCGCCAGCGTTCTAGAAACGCTATCCCGCTGTGCCACCGCAATCGGAGCTCGTAGGTTTGGCTCCGGCGTGGGATGGCTTCACACGGGAATAATCTGGTCCAAGATTAATGAAATTAAAATTACGCGACGACAACTTGATTCTTCTCAGTATCAGTTTCTCTTAAACGCCACAACGGGCTGAAAACCGGCACTTGATAGGTTGCGGCCCCAGAAAAGCGGAGGACGCGAGTGAGGAGAATAGAGGATCATCTCTAGGCAGCAAGTTAGGAGAAAAAACTGCAAAAAAGAAACTATCGTGAAGGACCTGCTGACGGCAAGAAGTTTTTTTCCAAAAGTGGGTGCTTGCTTCGAAATGTTTTCTGTTTCTTTGGATCAGACCCTTTCTTTTCTTCGGTAGAGTTCGGTTTCGGCAGATGATCGTGAGTTTCCACAATGAGATCATTGATGATGCCAGGACCAGTTTTTACCCTTTTCTTTTTTTATTCTTGTAAACCAAACTTGTGCAAGAGATTCATCCGCGACTCAAGTGGCAAGGTGATCGGCAATGTCTCTGCTCGTTGATCGATTGCTGTGTTAGCACACATCTATCCAAGTCTGTAGCGCTCAAGCCCTGGATCTGAGGGGCAAAACAGGGTCTTGGTAGCGGGGCAATGGGGTAAGTTTTAGTGGCCTTGCGCTGCAATAGCGGGCAGCTACAGAGACGCCCCCCGCAATGCTGAAATGCTGGAGCCTGCGCTGGGTCTCTCCATCTGATAGCCCCAATCCAGCGACTTATCGTCGTTCCGCGACCACCGACATGCGCAGCGAACCGACTGATCGGCTCCAATTGGCTCGAAAGGACCTCGAGAACTTCAATTGGGGGGTGTCTCTCCAATCTGGCGAGTTCTAGGGGCCAATGGACGCTGCCGCACGCCCCTAGGTCTTTCGTCTTTTGCCCGTCAAGGCGGTGGAGGGGCCGTCGTTGCGCCTCTTTGTCTATATTCCGGCCCTCCTCTTGCGTCCGAACCCCTCGATACAACCACCATCTTGCTTCTGCTAATACTCTTTTGTCTCACCACCACCAGCCTGACTTAGTTCGTGGCTGCTTCCGTGGCTGCTTCCAGATTCGAATCCATCGAGCCACCATAATCAGCGGGGAAAGGGCCCAGAGGGCTTGCTCGGGAACAAGAAAGCAACGAAACCGGACATCGTCATGTACGCGTACAATAAGCCCATCAAGGCCATGGAGTGAGTCTCTGTCTTTCTTTGTATTTCCCTTCGTGTTATTTAAACTCTTCCGCACCCTCCGTCGAATTTTCTCCAATTCTGGATTGCAAGTTATTTTGCTAATTGCTTTTCTTACACAATGGATAGGCCTCAACATATCCAGGTAGCTAGCCCAACTCCAATGCGCCAGTCCAACACCTTTGCGGCACATCATATTACAGAATTGGCAGAGACGAAAGCCTTCACCACAAAACAGACGATATAGGATGTTCCAAGACTAATTTCAAATCAATTGCAGGACCACTACATCGGCATTGATGTCGGCACAGGCTCCGCCCGCGCTTGCATCATCGACGAGACCGGTGACATCAAGGCTTTGGCCGCAGAGAACATCAAGCTGTGGCAGCCCGAGAACGGCTACTACGTGCGCATTCCCGATTGTTAAGCCCTGCTTACATGCCGCTCAAGTCTAACGTCTTCCCCAGGAACAATCCACAACAGACATCTGGCGCTGCATCTGCGAATGCGTGCGCCGAGTTGTGCAAGAGTCTCTCGTCAACCCCAACCAGATCAAGGGCATTGGCTTCGACGCCACCTGCTCTCTGTCCGTCTTCTCCAACGACACCGACGAGCCTATTCCCGTTACCGGCCCCGACTTCTCCAACGATGGCAACGACCGCAACGTCATTCTCTGGCTGGACCACCGTCCGGTCGAGGAGACAGAAAAGATTAATGCCACCAACCACAAGCTCCTCAAATATGTTGGAGGCAAGATGAGCATTGAAATGGAAATTCCCAAGGTTCTGTGGCTCAAGAACAATATGCCTCCCGAGCTGTTCGCTCGCTGCAAGTTTTACGACCTGGCAGACGCTTTAACTCACCTGGCTACGGGCAATGAAACGCGCAGCTTCTGCAGCACAGTCTGCAAGCAGGGCTTCGTCCCTGTGGGCGTGGATGGCAGTGTTAAAGGCTGGCAAGAAGATTTTTACCACGAAATTGGCCTCGGTGACTTGGTCCAGGATGACTTCAAGCTCATGGGAGGCGTCGACGGGGTGGTGAGCCTATTTTCTTTTGCGTCTAAATTCTTTCCTGCTGCATATCACCCTTTGCATGCAGCAATCTCCATTCAATTTTGAACACTCTAGCTAACCATCCCATCATTCATTATAGAGCGGAAAGTTTGCCAGTGCTGGCGAATGCGTAGGCACACTCAGCCGTCTAGCCGCCTCTCAGCTCGGCTTGCCAGAGGGCATTGCTGTCGGAAGCGGTGTCATTGATGCCTATGCAGGCTGGATCGGCACAGTTGGTGCCAAGGTCCAGCTGACTGAAGACGAGCTCAGGACTGATGTTCCCAAAAACGACGTTAGCCAGGCCTTTACTCGCTTGGCTGCCGTCGCAGGCACCTCAACATGCCACTTGGCCATGTCTAGAAATCCAGTCTTTGTCCCTGGTGTCTGGGGTCCTTATCGAGATGTGCTGATTCCAGAATTCTGGATGGCTGAGGGTGGCCAGTCAGCAACAGGAGAGCTGCTACGGCATATGCTGGACGTCCACCCGGCGTACAACGAGACCATGGCTCTGGCCAAGGCCGAAGACAAGCATATTTACGACTTCCTCAACGCCCACCTCGAATACATGGCGGAGAAGCAAAATGCTCCGGCCGTCTCTTACCTTGCGCGCCACTATTTCTTTTACGGTGATCTGTGGGGTAACCGCTCGCCAATTGCGGATGCCAACATGAAAGGCACCATGATCGGTCTCGACAGCGACAAGAGCACCGACAACATGGCACTATGGTACTACGCCACCATGGAGTTCATTGCCATGCAGACTCGCCAGATCGTTGAGGAAATGAACAAGGCCGGTCATGAGATTTCTTCCATCTTCATGTCTGGCTCACAGTGCCAGAATCCAATTCTGATGAATCTCCTGGCCACAGCATGCAACATGCCAGTGTTGATTCCCAAGTACGTCAACGCGGCAGTCGTTCACGGAGCTGCCATGCTGGGAGCAAAGGCAGCCAGCCATAACGTCCACGACGGCTCAGAGCCCGAGACGCTGTGGAACATCATGGACCGGATGAGCAAGCCCGGCCGATTGGTTCAGCCCGGCACTGACGCTGGCGAGAAGCTTCTGCTGGACGCAAAGTACGAGGTTTTCCTCGACATGTGCAACACACAGCAACAGTACAGAAAGAAGATTGACGGCGCTGTCGCGAAGTGGGGCGCCTTGTTTGACGAGTAAATGATGACCCATGAAGCAAGCGTGACGAACGGATAGAGGATGAAGAGATATTTTGGAATAGAATTGTCCTTTGAAAGGAAGCGATTTTAGAATTGTCCTTTGAAAGGAAGCGATTTTGGGCTTTGTAATGTAATGAAATTATGCATTTACTTTTCGATAGAAAGGAAACAAAGACAGCGAGATTTTGACCCATAGACAATCTTGCCTCCTAGTGATATTCAACGCGCGCTCCAATCGGTCTAGATGCCCTGTCGCGGTATATTCTGAAGACATTAACATGAATAGCGATAAATAATCTAATTTGGGAAAGTAATGGAATAACATTTATCAATTGGTTGAGGCAGTTGTAAGAGTAAATTCGATCGCTGATTGGTGGCCGTCCTTCAGCCGCGTCAGTCATCTGCGCTTCTGATTGGCCCGAGCTATCTGTTGCCTAGCCAGGTCCTCAGCCTCGCCAATTCAGGTGCCAAAATTCTAAACCTGCGGGAAGCTAGCTGCGCGTCTGCCCACCTTGAAACTTTCAAACGCGAGAGCACCTCTGCCTTTCCATTGCCTGCGCGCGGTGCCTCTCTTTTCCCATTCCTTCTAGTCCCCGTGGCTCTTTTTTTCTGCTTAATTTTTCCATTAACTGCCTAGTTGATATTCCTTCGATAGACCGTCGCGATGTCTCTTTTCGGCGGACAGACGACTGGCTCATCGCTGTTTGGCCAGCCCGCGCAGCAACAACAACAGGCCCAGAGCAACACCACAACGACAGGTGGAGGAGGTGGATTGTTTGGCGGCGGCGGCGGCGGTGGCGGCATGTTTGGAGGCGGACAACAGCAACAGCAACAAAAGCCTGGGGGTCTTTTCGGAGCAGCAACAACAGCGACACCACAGACTGGAGGAGGTCTGTTCGGAGCAGCCACGACAGCGACACCACAGGCCACCACGGGCGGCCTATTTGGACAGGCGGCGACGACCCAGAACCAGCAGACTCTCACATCCGGTGGCGGCCTATTTGGAAACACCCAAAATGCGGTCGCGCAGCAGCCAAAGCCTTCGCTGTTCGGCGGCTCAACACTGACCGGGCTTGGTGGTGGCACTACAGCCGCGAAGCCTTCTCTGTTTGGGGCTACAACAGCTGCACCGGCTCAGCAGAGCACGGCCTTGCCTTTGACAGGCGGATTTTTGGGCGGCCAGGCGCTGACTGCCCAGAATAACAACACGACGAGCGCGGCAGCCCAGCCCGCGGGCGCCTACTTCGACAGCCTCTTTGCGAAGACCCAAAAGGCCGGCGTCGTTAATGCAAACATGGAAGATCTCCCTAGCCTGGAGCTGGGCTTGGGCGACTTGCGCCATCGGCTGAGAAAACTGCAGTCAAAACAGACCGAAAGAGCTGATGGAAAGGCTCACTATCTTCTTGCCGCCTCGGGCGTGGATCCTAGCACTGCGGCTAAGGACCTCGGTCTGCTCGATATTCAGGGTGCACGAACCGAACGACCAACACATGGCTATCCTCCAGCTGATGTCGACGTCGAGACCTACTTGTCGAACCTGCAAACGAAAACGACCCTCAGCATGATTCAAGATGGCTTGGAGCGATCATTACGCGATTTCGACAACTTTTTGGAAGATAATGTGGCTATGGAATGGGATGCGCAGCGAAAGCGTATTTACCAACACTTCGGCATCAAGCCTAGAGAGACCTCAGTTACGGCTGGTCGCGAATCTCAAGGCGGATTTGGAAAGTCTCGACGCGGAAAGACCCAAGGGAGCACTCCACGCGATGCTCGTAGCAGCACATTTGGTACCTCGACTTTCCAGCGATCGGTTATCGGAGCGCGATCAAGAATTGGCGCTCATCAGTCTGAATTCTCCGATGTCGAACGAGCTACAGATGGCGTCAGCAAATCGAGAAATGAAGACCAGGCCCTCCGTGAGCGACAGTCGAAGCTGGCTGAAAAGGTTCGCAGCCTCAACGCCTCACGTTTGGTTGGCCGGCCTTACCCCATCTTGGCCGAACTGGCAGAGATTGAGCAAAAGTCCCATGAGCCTCATGCACCTCACATTGTGGAGGCATACCGCGCCATGATTGAGATTGTTGGCGAAGATGCCGATGCCGAGACGTCACTCAACGGTCACACTGCCAAGGAGCGCCAGTTCGCTGAGATGTATCTGGATGAAAACCCCAACTCTCAGCTTTCAGTTGAAATGAGGAAGCGCATCTTGAGCGGCGCCAATGCTTTCCTCGAGAAGCAGTTCCTTCGTGAGGTGGAGTCTCTCATTGCTAAGCATCCTCACGAGGCCAAGCTGGGTGGTCTGCCTGATATCACTAGTAAGATTAAGGCATACATCCGCTTGCGATCAGCTAGAAAGGACTTGGTTCCGGACAACACTGAGCTTCAGCAAATCCATGGCGAATACGTTTGGGCCATTGTTTTCTATCTGATCCGATCTGGTCATGTAAATGATGCTGCCAAGTATGTCAACGACAATAGCAACCACTTCCGAGGCATCGATCGCACGTTTTCAACGTACCTCAACAACTATGCCGCCAGTGAAGATCGCAGAATCACTAACAGGAAGCTTCTCGACCGTTGTACAAACGAATACATTCAGCGATCCCGAAACGCCCCAGAGAACACAATCGACCCCTTCCGTATGGCCTGTTACAAGGTCATTGGTCGGATTGAGCTGAATAACCGAAATCTGGATGGTCTTAGCACCGATATTAACGACTGGATTTGGCTGCAGTTCAACTTGGCTAGAGAAGGTGACAAGGCGCTGGAGATGGCTGGGGAATCGTACGGACTGGCAGATCTTCAGAATAGTATCAAGGAGATTGGCCAGAAGCACTTCCCCAAGACTGCCTCTGACGATAACAACGGCAGCTGTGGCATGTACTTTTATCTGCAGATTCTATCTGGCATGTTTGAGGACGCTGTTTCTTATCTCTACCCATTTTCCTATGTCGACGCAGTTCACTTTGGTTTGGCTCTTGGGTTTTACGGCCTGCTTCGCCCTAGTGACCCGATATCTGCCTCCAATGACTTGCGCACACACAGCATCAAGGGTCTTCCACAAATCAACTTTGGCCCCATGATCGGCTACTATACTCGAGATTTCCGAGCTGCCGATGCTGTGTCTGCGGTTGACTACCTCACACTGATCTGCCTGAACGCGGATCTTGGTGGAGAAGCTGGAGAGCGCCATAGCAGCCTTTGCCACGAGGCATTACGAGAACTGGTGCTGGAGACACGCGAGTTCAGCAAGCTCATTGGAGATATTCGACCTGACGGCCGGCGCATTCTGGGTGTTATTGAGGGCCGTGGTCCGTTGATTGGCCTCGATGGCCAGGACGACTTTGTCAATACCGTCACTCTGCAAGCCGCCAGCTTTGCCGATGAGAATGGCCGAATTACTGACTCAGTATTGCTCTATCACCTTGCGGGCGAGTATGACGCAGTTGTGGCCATTGTCAGCCGTGCTCTTAGCGAGGCCATCTCCCTGGAAATTGGAGAGGACCCAATGCGTCTGATGCCCGTTAAGCCTAGGGGCGGCAACAATCAGGAGCCAGAGCAAGGCGGCAGCCTTAGCTTAGCGGCCATCGATGACCCTGTTGAGCTAGCCAAGACGATGATGACCATGTATGAGCGCGACGCAATGTTTTACCGCAACATCCAGGACCAGAACAAGGTTGCTTGCCGCGTTTTGCTTGAGATGAGTGGCATAAAGAGCTTGGTGGAGGCTAGCCAGTGGGCTCAATGTCTTGATGTAAGTTTTAGATCTATGGTCTTACAAATATTTCCTAATGCTAACATGTTTCTCACCAGAAAATCCGTGGCTTGGACATCCTCCCTCTCGAGGCCGGCGGTGATGCCAGCACAATCCGTGCCTACGCTTCCAAATTCTCCAGCCTCTCGCAGCCAGTCTCGATTAACGTGCCTAATCTGATTATGTGGACCATCATCAGCTGCGTCAGGCAGAGAGAGCAGCTGGTCAATGGCCAGTTCAGCGGCAACGAGGGTACCAGGAAGATGATGGTGGAGCAGCTGAAGCAGATGATTTTGGATTTGACGACGTACACGAGTCAGCTGCGGTACAGGTTCCCGCCGCATCTGCATGAGGCTTTGGCGAGGGCATCTGCGGAGTAAAATACGGGAGGGAAAAGATAGATGGAGCAGCATAAACGAGAGAAAGAAGAGACTGATGATGACTTTTGTTTGATACACTTATGATTGGGCGGACTTGAAGTGAGCTGTGGGCATGAGATGGATGTAAGGAGGGGTCGATGGGTTATTAATGGGAATAAACAGTCTGGATCTATTCACGCTAGGTACTTAAAGTAATTGAAGATGGACTCTTTGAGTTGTTAGTATGGATTACCACTACTTTTAGGGAAAAATTATCCAGCACCCCAATTCTATTATCTAGGTCTTTAGCTATAGCGTCTATATGTAATATGCATGTAGGTTATTAAGTACTACTGCTGCTACTGCTGTTGTAATAGGCGGTGCTAGCCTAGGCTGCTAGCATTGATAGATCTTGTTGATTATTGATGTAGTTGGTGACTAAAGAATTCATTATTAGACGATAAATAAGATTTTAGAATATTTAATTGTGCATCCTGGTTCTTTTCTAAGTACTATTTGATACTCACCTGAAACGGGACATATTTTCCCCTCCAGACATGGTGTCTACTTATGCCCATAGCAACTCGTAGAGAGAGCATGTCGAGGTAAAACACAAGCTACATGCAGATCGCGTATTAATGAAGCATCTCTTGGCAAACAAGCTGTAAATTGCAGACTTCCACGTACCTGCTCCATGTCTTCCCATAAATGCTCTCTTTTGACTTCTCCTGCAAATTCTAGGTCTTTTTCATCTTTTTTATACTCACGATCAAAAAGTCTCAAAATCCCGGTGGGTATATTCTTCAATTTTGCTGCGGCATGCCTGTTCCACGCAAAGCCCTTCTCGAGAACCCTGGCTGAGGCCTTGAAGGAGGTAAGTTTCGTGTACTATATGGAGCATTTTTTTTGGTTTAGATCGATACATACACAAGGAACGAACACCGTGCTTGGCGATTTGCTGTAGAAATCTATAAATCTTTTGATGAAAATGGTATGCTGAAACGCGCCATACGAATCGTGAGCTAATCATCGTGAACTCGAGTCAGTCTGATATATTTTAGAAAGAGCAGCCGTCACTTACTGATGTCTACGGGCATGCTGTCTAGGCCCCAAAATCTGATCGAGCTAGGCTGTCCATTGATCAGTGAAACATTAGCTGGCAACCCTGGGTCTGAGTCTGTGCCAGCTCCATACAGTTTTCCACCAAAGCGGAGCAGTACGTTTGCTGTAGACCATCTGCTCACGTTAATGGCCCAGTAGAGTGGCATTCTGAAACACTTATCCACTGCGTTGACGGCACTGCCATCAGCTTGCAGTAGACATTCTACGACATCTTCGTACCCACCTTCTACAGCCATGATGAGCGCTTCAGCCTCCACTGGACCGTTTATTGAAGAGTTGTTTCCAGCGTGAGGCTTGGCTCCGCGTTGGAGGAGCATCTTTGTCATTTTCAAGTCCCCAACCTGAGCGGCCACCAGTAATGGAAACATGAAATAGCAAGAGCAAACCCAATCCTCGTGATGAGTGCAGACTTTTGCCTCGGGATTGATTATAGCGCCAAAGTTGTCATCTCGTAACAGGTCTGCGGCTACCCCCATCCCGTTGTAGATCGCAAAACCTAGTGAAGACCACAGTTCCTCGTCGGTAACAATGAAAGCTTCTTTTGCTCCTCTTCGCAGTAGGGCCTTGGATGTATCTTCATGTTTACGCACTAGTGCAAACCATAGAGCATTCTCCCCAGCCCTCGTCGTAGCATGAATATCGTGGCCATCGTTTAGGCAGGCGTCGATCATACTGGTCAGCCCAAAAAAAGCAACGAACTGCAGAATCGTCATTTCCTCTGCGGACTGAGTTGCATAAAATTCGTGGTCATCGAATTCATCTATTAGAGTGACCACCATTTCGTTGCCTAGAAAGATTGTGATAGTTTCCACCATGCTAACAGGAAGACTCATCTCATTGAAGCCTTCGCGCCAATGGCGAGCCCAATGGTATATCGTATACTCAAGAAATGGATATACATCTAGGCTCTCAAGTGTGTAGTAATTGTCTGGTGTCAATGAAGACCGGATGACTTCGAATGAAAGATATTTGATGCATACTTTGGCGATGCCTTGGTGTACTTCTTGCATAGCACATTTGGAAGATTTTGGAGGCAGAAGACGAGTCTCTACAGTCTCTGAGTCTTCCAGGCTCCATAGACAGACCATGTTTTCTTGTAAGTATTCGAGGGCTGTGTGATGAAGCAGTCGAATGACGCGGCTTTCCCCCTCGACTAATACTAGCCCCATGCAAACCTTGACCACGAAATTGGTACTTTCAAGAACTTCTTCACTTGGTAACGAGCTGCTATCATCTCTGATTGCCAAAGCGTGACGGAGTTCCAAAGCTGTGATTTCTCTCGCAGCACAAGCGAGCCACTGGAGAGTACGTTTTGCTAGCTGCTGATGCTCACTCGGCTGGCCGCGAATTCGGATGATGGTTTTCTCGTATGCTTGTTTATATGCCTCTGGACCCCTGGGGAGGTCTTGGAGCGTTTTTCTGATCTGGTCGAGAGTTGTTTTCGTCAGGAGTGAATCAACGTGAAATTTCGCAAGAAGAAAGCTAGGAATGTCAGTGACCGACAGAAGTGATATCTAGTAGCACCAGCCAACTTACATGCCATCAATCGCACTACTGATTTGTGTTACAATCTCTCTTTTAAGGCAGACTTTGAGCTCTTCGCGAATGTCGTCATTTTCATCACTCAAGACTGTGAACTCTGGCAGGCGGCCATGAATATAATCTTTTACATCTTCAGTGGATGCAGAAATGTCAAGGAAGAGTCCGCTCTTGAATTGTTCCTTAACACCCCCGGTTGGTCGAGTTGTAGCGAAGAGTTTTGCTTCTGTATCCTTTAGGACTGTGAATATATTTTCCAAAAAGTTGTTGCTATCTTGGCTTTCATCTAGTGCGTCGATGACAATGAAAGTTTTTGTGGATCTGTCGCTTATCAAATGTTTGAGGGCCTCGGAAAACTTCTTGATATCCTTGTCTGAACGCGAAGAAGCCGGTATGGACTTGTATTTCTTTTGGAGGTCTTCGACGGCGGTGGGCAGACATGGCTTGGCTCTAACCAGCTGTTTGACAAGACTAGCCAGGACATCGATAGTTCTCTGGCTTTCTTTCCTGATGAAGTCAAAATATATGAAAGCCAAGCTCACTTTAATTTTCGGGGTATCGCGAGAGGACTGCCAGTGTTGAAGATGGTCGATAACAGCAGATGTAAGGATTGTTTTCCCTGCTCCTGGGTTTCCCTGGCACAGCAGAGTTTTCTCATCTCCGTTTAAAAGCTGCTGGAAATTCGGATGCTCCAAAAGCCATTTCCCTGAATCTGGACGTCTTTTACTGAGATGCTCATGATGCTGTGCGTCATAATTAACCGGCGTGAGCCATTCAAGGATTTCGTTTCGAGCATGGCGCTCCTGACCCTGATGGATTTTTTTCACGCCTTCGGATATTTCACTGATTTTACTGGCAATAACTAAAAAATTATTTGTTAGTATTGATATTTTGAACATGATTCAATAGGGCTTAAGCTAGCAACACTGGTTCTCATTCCCGGCTCTCCTCAAAGCTGCCGACTGGCCATCCATCATGTGATTGCTTATCCTCGATTCCCAGAGGTTGGGTCTTCTCATAGGGGTTGATGCTGATGGAACAATAGTTGGAGGAATGAAGCTCCTTACTTTTGATACCTTCCATCTGCTCTACATCAGATGCAGGAATTATTGAGAGAAGTTCCTTTGCAAACGCAGCGGCCGTAGCTGCCGCATATCCTTGCCAGTCGTCGTTCTTATAAGAGTCTGCATAATCGCATATGCCTCGAATAACAAGGCAAGGGAAATTATCCATCAGTCCTGCTGCTTCCATCTCCACACATAGAGCATGATGATTGAGATTGCCATTTATCCTATCTCGTAGAATGGCATCTTTGATAACCTTGTTTCCAGAGGCAATAAGTCCGTAGTGAACCTTTACATCATCTCTTGGCTTTCGTTCAACAGTTTTCGTGATGTCGTCTGATGCGAAGAGGATGTCCTCCATTGAATCAAGCCGGCTGTATTTCTGTTTTAATTTTTTCCATTTTCTTGTCATCTGCTCAACATATCTTTCTATTTTGGAGCCTTTCATTTCGTGTCGTGTCTCCAAGCGTTGCAGTGCTGCTAACAAGATATTTGGAGGGTTATTCAGCGATCCGATCCGCTCGAAGCCGCCGCCCTCTATTGCTTTGCCCAGATCCAATTGAACAACACCAGGAAACATGCTTGTTGGTGTGCTGACGACAACATCTCCCAGTCGAATATCGTGATCTTTGGTAGGGATGCCGCCTCCAACGCCAATCATCAACCCGAATCTGATTGATGAAAACGACTCGAGCATTTGAGTCGCTACAACCGCTGCGGATGTAGTCCCCTGCTTGCCTTTTGGCAGGCAAGCAACAACAATATTGTGCTTTCCAATGGAACCAAGCGTATAGACGTTTTTATCCCCGGGTGGATTGCTGGGCAGCTCATGCTCTGAGTCTAGCATGGCCGTTGCCGCTGTCAATTCTGTTGAGAGAGCGCACACCCATCCGATTGTGTATTCATTACGCGGGAGGGCAGGAGTGGTGGATGTCTCAGAGTCAGACATCTCTCAATTGATGTAGAAGTTGTTACTCGATGTGTAAGGAAATATATTTCGAAAAGAGGCAAGAAATTCAATTCAATTCAAGTGAAAGAGAAAGGCTGGGTTGAACTTGATGCTATCCATCGCTGGAAACGCGCCGGATATTCCAGTCTGAGTAATACCGGGAAAAAGAAGAGTAGGGCTTCCGCCTAACTGCGGGGGATTGAGGCTATTCATGCAAGAGAAATTGGCTCACCAGATTGAACGCCAATAAGAATCAGGCTGCGAGCTCGCCGCCAAATTGAGAGTGCCTTGCAGCAGTAACATGCGTAAGTAAATGTATCTACTCTATGAACAAACGAAACAGGATGGAGCTTGCAAACGAAGCTGTTTGAGACATATAAAAATAGAGAGAAGATATCCAACACCCTAGCTATAACTTAATAAGGCAGCTAGTTTCTGTAGAAAATATATATAAGCAGTTATTCAGTATACTTAATACCTTAAAATAATGGTAAAAGTAGTAGCGGTAGTAATAGCAGTAGTAGTAGTAGTAATAGTAATAAGAACAGTTATAGCAGTTATAGCAGTAGTACTAGTAGTAATAATAATAGTAGTACTTATATTCAAAGTAGTAGTAGTAGTAATAGCAGCAGTAGCAGTAACAGTAGCAGTAGCCTATGCTATATATGGAGTGCTAAATAACAAAACTGGGATGCTGGATAACTTTTCCTTATATTATAACCCAAATGCAGTAGACTTCTCATCAATAGCACTTGAATAGCTCTCGAGATACAAGAAGCAGGCCAAGCCATGTAAGTTCTGTAGGATTCATCTTTCATAGTCTAGTGCCCGCTAGCTCTACGGCACGTGCCCGCTGCAGCCACAGCCAACCGCTAGCGGCCTTCCTGACTCGCAGCATGGCTCTGGCCACCCGCCCACCTGATTCAGCAAGCGGCTGTTCATAGGCCAGCCGGAAGGCCAGGAGACCAACCACACTCCATCTCCACCAACCAGCCCCATGCAAGCAAAGCCCGTCCGTGTCTCGCGACGCCCCTTGCCGGCATGCCATTGCACAGAGTACGAGGCCCAAGTACATTCAGTCCGTTTTGCCTTTGACGCTGCAGCCGGAGCTGAGGCTAAAGCAGCATCCAGGCCGGATCCGTTGGTTCTGAGACGCTGGGGTGGAGCATCTGGCGGTGCAATCTCACTCGGCAGCGCATCGCGATCGGCTCATTCAGCCCTACGGCGCATTGCTTGTCTCGCCAATGGTACCACTACACCACTAACACGCATCTATCGACACCCACTCGCAGGTACCGGTGCCGGTACATCGGAGCCCCGAAGCCCGGGTCCTTGTCGTCGGGTCCGGGACAGGCTCCGGCCCTTTGGCGGACGCGGAGCATGGTTGGCCGGCCCGTCGTTTAGCTGTTACCCAAATAGTATCACCACCTATTCTTAATGGACACCCGGTCCTCTAGACGGGGCAGGTCAAGTCCCGTAGTAGGAGACTCGGTCGAGAGTGCGAGCCCCAGCGCCATTGAAGCCATCAAGCCCGAGTCTTCGGCCACGGTATCACCCTTAGCATCGTCAACAGCCGTGAATCTCAATGGCACGGCGGCGGCAGGGGCTTCCGAGCCCATGGAGACGACGGAAACAGACGAGGTAGAGAATGTGACCAAGAAGAGGAAAACCGGCACGGGAAGCAGAGGCGTTGCAAACTTGACGCCGGAACAACTGGCCAAGAAGAGGGCAAACGGTAAGTGTGTTGCTGCATCTCTCCTCCTCACACCTCGGACCCTTTGCCTATTATGGAATATTTCTTTCCATATCACTACTACATGCCATTTTTGGCACTACTGCATCTGCATGTGTACTCATTTGATCATATGACTCGTACATCTACCAGCTTGTTTTTTTACATTGTTACACCTATATGTCTACTTAACTGCTGTGTCACTTATCACTGACGAGTTTGACCTCATCATCATACAGACCGTGAAGCGCAAAGGGCCATCCGAGAACGGACTAAGAATCAGATTGAACGGCTCGAGAAGCGTATTCGGGAGCTTGAAAACCAGAAACCGTACCAAGATCTCCAAGTCGTGGTGCGTGCCAAAGAGGCCATACAGGCCGAAAATGCCGAAATCAAGAGGCGGCTCGCCACCATCATCACCATGCTGCAGCCCATAGTTGGTACAGGTAAGCTCTTACCTTCATTTTCATTAATCTGCGTGTGCGCATACACTCGGTGAGATCTAACAAACGCAGGTGATCCTGGTGGAGCATCCACGCTCTCATCTGCTGCAGTGCCTCCAGCTGTTCCAGTCACAAGCAGCGTCCCTTATCATCCCGCAGCTCCAGCGGGAGGAGTGGCCGATCCACAGCGCCAACCCGCTCAACCGCCTTTACAGAGCTGGTCAAGTGCTGGCAGCAGCTCATCGCCACCACCGCATCGAGCTGGCCTCGCTGGGGCCGTCGACGAGGGCACACGGCTTATGCTGGAGCAGCAGAGCCACTCCCTTCGACACGGGTTAGATTTTGGGTCTGGGAGATTCGATTTCAACGTCGTTCTTGACCCTATTCAAGCCATTCCGAAGCTTCAAAGGGGCCGTGACGGAGCACAAGATACTGGCGAATTCCACCACGTGGCTATGAAGCATGACTGGACACAAGTAAGCCAAGAGAATGCACGGCCTACATGGGAATCGCCCCTTGCCATTCCCTCACCGGGCTCCGATCCAGCCTCTGGAGTACTGCCGAAAGCTGTTACGAGTCAACCAGCGTCCAGTTCTAGCCTGGGCCTTGACGGCGCCGTTCCAGATATCCCACCAGTTCCATTTCCTGACGCACAGGCTGCTAACATCGCAGAATCTCTCCCTCTATGGGCGCGGCCTTTAAGAAACTGCGAGCCTACCTGTCCACTGGACGCTCTGCTTCTTGACTTTCGCAGCGAGCGTCAGCAGCGCGCCGCTGAGGGGTATGAGCAAAACGAAGTAACCGGCCCTCGGTATCCATCTGTTTCTTCCCTTCTCAATCCGGCCAACAGCCAATACAGCCACCCGGTATCCAAGGTCTTCACAGACATCGTTGGCAAATTTCCCGAAATATCCGGTCTGCCCGAAAAAGTGACCATTCTCTACCTCATGTTCATTTACATGCGATGGCAGATATCGCCCACAAAGGAAAACTACGAACGCCTACCGGAGTGGTTCCGGCCATTGCCATGCCAGCTCGACATACCGCACCCAGCGTGGATGGACTATCTGCCGTACCCAGAGATGAGAGAGAGGGTCATTCTGGCCAACGATCCCTCAATTTTCTACTTTGACAATTGGTTTCTCCCGTTTACGTCCACCTTTACCATCTCATGGCCTTATGAAGAGGCGCATACTTTGCTGAGGAATCCGGATAGCGACGAGATTATGATTAACCCGGTGTTTGAGAGCCATATGCGCAACTTGGATAATTGGAAGGTGGGGAGGGCGTTTGCCGAGGCGTTCCCCATGCTGGTTGATACGTGCAAGTTTTGGGACGGTACGAATCAGCAGCAGGGCCCTGAATGATCTCTTTCATTCAACATGAACGTACTTGGATACAGCAAGCGGAATAAGGAGGATAGGGCTGAAAGATCATTGGACTAAAGAATTTTGCTACGAATCTAGGTATATCCGGCTTATTTGGGTTTAGAAACTTGGGTGGATCTCATGAGAATGGCGATTGTGGCATTGGCGCATCCTGCACACATATACATATTACTAGTATATATAGTCACGACTCTCATGCATTGCAGCATGCTTAATGTAAATGTTTATTAATGCCTCATTACATCATACAATCATGATTCCAACTCCGTAGATTCGTACATGGTAGAATCTTTTTTTGTTCTTGTGACCTCGCAGCCCAAAGCCCTTTTAGGTACCCAGTGTTCAAGTAGATATCTTGGTAGCAATTTTATCAACAACCGGGTGCAAACCAGCACATGCGACGATAGAAAGAAGATAGAAAAGACCGCGGAAGCGTAAACGCCGGCTAGAAAAAGAGAGCCATGGCTATAAAGAGTAGCAAAGCTCTTTTCGTATTCGCAAGGAAAATCGTGTGTCAAATGTCCGCTTAAATCGTTCTGATGCTGGCGAGTGACGAATTGCAACAAAATTGAGGATATAAAAAGAAAAAAGAAAAAACAGAAGCGAGAAAAGGGAAGAAGAAAGGTTATATGATGCGCTCGGCAATGCGATCGGTAAACTGATTAATCTTGACCGGCACGCGCATCTCCCGCAGCACATACTGCAGCGACCGCAGCTTCACCGCATTGCCCACCGACGCCAGCAGCTCGCTGTTGGATATATTGGGATTGCTGCTCGTGACCGTCTCGTAGATTTGCTTGCGCTGCTCCTCGCTCAGCTTCTTGGGCTGGCCCGGCCGCGACATGCTCTTGTTGTCATGGCGGTCGGCTTCTTTCTTGATGGTGTAGCGGATCGTCGAGACGGGCACCTCGGGATGCATCTGGTGGATGCGCTTGTAGCCGTAGCCGACGCTGTGGAGCTCGCAGATGCGCGAGCGCAGCGTTGGGGAGAGTTCTTTGCCGCGGCGAGGCATTGCTGTTGGTGGTGAAGTTGGTGTTGAAATTGTTTTTGAAGTTGAAGCTTGGTGATGTTGTAGGTTGGAGGAAACGATAGGGCGTCACTGGGATGCATTGATACCCCAAGGGTAGTACTGCCTAATAGGCGGGGACACTTTATCTTGCGAAGAGAGGCCTTGGCAGGGTTACAAAAGGCACCGCGGAACAAGGTTATCGACATGCCAAGTACTAATCCAAAATCCTTTTCTATACCGTGTTTTAAATCTATCCTTGGCAAACGGGGTGCAGAAGTGATGAAAACGCAGTTATAGATGTAGGTAAGCTTCCTCTTCGTCCCTAGCAAGGGCTGTTAGCTGCCGCTGGGATGCAGCAAAGTTGGCAGGCATTAGCATTAGCCGCGGGAAATTTATTTTAAACTACAAATAATTGTCCCGGCCCCGAAAGAAGGCACCTGCCGCAATCGTTCGAACGGATAAGAGTTTAGGCAGGGCCTGCGAGCCGCAAGAAGCGTATAGGAGCGTATAGGGAGCGGTTTAGCTGGAAGAGTTTATGTAGAGTAGTAGTAGTATTATTATTCTTGCTGCATTTGGTCATTCTCGTATAGCCTGCTATTCCTCCTTAATTGTTTAATATGGTGACTCGCTATTGTAATTCGCCAAGAGATCGGTGTACATGAGGCCAGCGAAGAAAACGCTAATGAAGATGATTTTCCTTTTTCGACAGAGGTTGTAATATTTTCTTACTGTACAGCCCGGATTTCTTTTTCTCCGTCGTATACATCGTTTAGTACCAAAGACCCCCCCGGCCGGCGCCCCCGAAGGGCACATAGGGCAAGTGCCCGATCCCGTTAGCTGTCATCTTTGATGTAACCACACTCTCACGATGTTGACGTAGCTTAGTACTGCATTTAGTATATACTCGATTTAGGGTATAACACTGGACTGTTTTAGCACAATGTGTTCTGAATCTGGCATATACTGTATAGTTGTTGTAGTAAAAAAAGGGGGGGAAGGGGGTGTTATAAGATGTCTTTTATGCCTACAAGGTTCGCCCAGCTGCAGCACGTTTCTCTGCACGCCGAGTCTGAGCTTTTGCTGGCATCAACAAAGTAATTTGCCTTCTTACAAGTAAACACAAAGCTGCACAAGACTTCTAGATGCCGTCCAATTGATAACCCGCCCCAGAAAAATTGGGAGTAGTTAGCAACTGCGTATCTAATGTCCTTTTACCGTTAAAAGCCACTACAACCAAGATTTCGTCTTGAGGGATGGGGAAATACTCCCAAATTTATCTATCCAACATACGATACAATCTCTAGGATGGAAAAAAAGATGCCATTCTCCTCTATTTCATTGACGCTACCGCAAGTAAAGCTGAAGGGAAAAATATTTCGTAATAAGAAAGGTGCAAGCTTAGAGTACGGTCAGCTTAGCTAGTACTAAGCCAGCAACTGGGAGAAACTTCATCGGCCCCTGTTCAACTTCCACGATATAGTATCTGTACCAGCGTTCCGCAACGTTTCCAGCTTTGGCAATGACTATAATGGTATAAATATAAAAATAGCGCTTCTCAATCGTTGAATTTATCTCAACGTAGCCTAGAGTGGTAGCCTAAAGTGGATGATTTCTTCAAGTTGATCGACTTTAATCTCAAATTCCTTCGGTTCCTGCGGAAGTCCCATCCGCTCAGCCTCTAGATTACATATCCCAGCAGTAAATAACATGAAAAGTACTCCGTGAAAACAAAAGGCTAGTCCTTAAAACTCACCAATTACTCCATACCCATATCCGGCCATCCGTAACAATAACCAACCAGTTCGCCAAAATCACAGAACCCAAAATATATCCTTGCAACCAATCAGACGAGAAAAAGATTGGGAAGAAACCAATGAAGCAAGGTCATCATCAACCCATCATTCGTCAAAAGCGCCGATTGGTGCGCATCCAAACTTCTTCAAAAGAGGCCCCCTGGCCACATACAAACTCGGCATCTTCTCCCCAGGCAGCGTCTGAAACATCATTGCCTTTACAGGGTTCTCGGCCCGAAGATTCTCCAGAGCGCTTCCAGCACGCAGGATCCGGCCCGATTTGAGGGAGAAGAGCTTGACTGTGCCGTCATCTTGCGCCGAAGCCACGAGGTTGAGCTCATTGCATACATCCCAGCCAATATGGTATCGCGCTTCGTTGCGATAATCAGGAAAGTCAAGTAGCGGAGAGGAGATAGTCCGGCCATGAGAATTGGTCTTATTAGATTGGAAGAAGCGCGTGTCATAGATTGACATTTGGTTCTGCAGGCCTGCAACAATCACTTGATGCGGATTGATGCTGCGGACGTGGGCAATGGACGAGCTGTGCTTAACGTGGCTCCATCCGGCCGTCGGTGCTCTGAGATCCGAAATCCAGAGCTGAGGCTGTCGACCGCCTGCAAACAGCACGTTATGATTGTCGATTTGAAAGTCTTGAGAGAAAATCTCCTGGGGGGTCCAGGGGCCAAGGCGCGCTCTTGCCCGCTTGCCCGGCCTGTTCCTACGGCCATTATCGACCTTTGTCGTCGGGTCGATGCTAGGCGGAACGTCATTGGTAGTGATCCAACCAATGCTTTCATCAGAGCGAACGCGCAGAATGCCGTTACTGGTGCCCACAACGCAGAGGAGGTTGGAAGATGCTGGTGCAGGTGTGCTCTGATGCACATACCATTGCGGATTTCCGGAAGGCTGAAATAGAAGTTTACAATAGCTATCAGCTGTCGATGTAATGTCAGTTAGATAGTTCCACGAATTTGATACGAGAATCATATGATATCAAGGAGCAACACATGTTATTGGGAGGGGAAAGTGCGTGACGTACCATGGGCAAGAAGCCAGTGTCGTGCACCCTTATGGTCAGTAGCAATCGTAGGAGAGAATGTAATCAATGCAAGTCCGTGGCCAGGCTCTCGTGAGGTGAAGAGAAGCTTGTGAGATGGTTGGTGATATTTGATGGAAGACATCTGCGGGCAGTGAACCATCTCTAGGTGCAGTCTCGATGGATCCCGTTGAGCAGCTGGTATATTTACCAAGCTATTAATGTCCATCGTCAGCATGCATATCTATCAGATAATGTTATATATTAGATAAGAGAGGATAGAGGCACTCACTTCTCATTTTCATCAGTGTCCAAGTATTTTCCCATCAACGTCTGCTCATCAAGAGCTAAAAATGTTCACTTGCTTAGCTTCCACAGCCAACTCAGTCAATCATCACCAGCCAAGAAAACTCACTAGCATATGCCACAGCAGAATCGGTGCCGCACTCCTGTCCGCTCACATAAATAGACGGCATATGAGGATACGTATTCCACGTCATGCTCGGCGCAAAAGCAGACTGGCCCTTGTCCGTCAGCTCCCGAGCCCACATTGCCGCCGCGACATCTTCATCTTCAACCCGTCCTCGTCCAGACTCAGCGGCCCTCTGGTGCCCCGTCTCGCGAGCAAATAGCCCCGAGTTGACAATGTCATGTCTCAAGACACTGCGCTTAATGTGATTCTTGACCAGCTGCGCCCTGTTAGATGCTTCCTGGGCGATTTTGGTTTCAATCTTGCGCCGCTTGACAGACTCAGAGGACCACTGGGCGGAAGAGGGCGCAGTCTGGGTTTTTTCAATCTTGAAATACTTCTTCTTTTCTAGATCTTTGTCTCGGAATGTTAGCCGATGAGGAGTTCGGGAAACGATAGTAAAGCTAAAAGATGGGATACAGGGATCTCACCATAGTAATAGCCCGGTATCTCTGCCGGAGCTCGAGCACTCATAGTCTCAAAGACGACGTCGTCCAGTATTTGCAGCAAAGAACCTTATGGACTCGGGAACAAAAAAATATTAGATTGAGAAGCAGTGAGCACAATATTCAATGTTGATCTTTATAAATTTGGATGGAAGTGAAAAGTTTGGTCGGTCCTTTAAACAATATGACATTGACGCTGCAAAGAAGCTTTTAATTCTTTCTTTAGCGTATGAATGAGGCAACTTGCCAAAGTTGAAAAAGTGGGTGGATCACGTGCTATTATACCACACCACCGTCAATGGCAACATGAAGACAAAGACGCAGATTCGAGCTTTATTAGGCATCGCTTCCAAACTCATCCGTTAATTCACAGTTAAACATGTATTGATCTATAAGCTTCACAGCTCCCAAAAAATAGAAGCAACTCTTCACAATAAATATTTGTCCACATTACATCAATTTCATCGCACACATCAAGGTGACATTTTACTTTGTCTTCATTAGCTGTCTATTAGACCATCATAGGGTACGAAGTTTGCCTCCATCCCAATCCAGACGAGTCCATCTTTAGATACGACTCATACAGTACATTTAAAACATTTAAAAAACGAAACATGCAAGACAACTAGGCTTGCGGGTATGTAATAGTGTATTTACTGAGACTTTTCGTGCTGGGTAGAGACACGCTGCAGAGAAACGACTGTAGGAAATGAAGAGTTAGCGATCGCGTTACATGCAGTCAAGGGTATATGGATATAAACTTACCAAAATCTTCCAATGATCGCTGCTTCTTGTCCGTCTTGGGGGACTTGCCATGCATGAGGTTGTCGAAGCCTGAGCTTCCCTGGAGGAAGTAGTAGAGACCACCCATGATGGAGAAGATACCGAAAGAGAAAATCCAGACACGGACAACGGCAACAATGCTGGTCTGCTCGCCGATGAACCAACCAAAGACACAGAAGAGAGTGGCCAGGATGTCGACAACCAGGATAGCACCGCTGAGCTGCCATGAGGGAATGGAGGACCAGAAAGGACCGTTGGCACGGGTGATGAAGATCAGCCAGTTCTCAGTGAGGGAAATCTCAAGGAAGAGGACCTCGTCAATGTTACCAAAGTTCTGGACGATACCGCCGTTCTGGCCACCAGCGTACATGGTGGTAAGCGCAATCCAGGTACCGACAGCAAGGACGGCGCCGAGAAGAACGGACATACCCCAGAGCTTGGGAAGGTTCCACTTGACGGGAGTCTGGGAGTAAGGG